ATCAGCAACATTTATTCGCAGTCAGGTGGGTAAACGGCTTGGTTTTATATCTTCTTTTCAGGGAGGAGTACGAACTTTCCTTTTCCTTTTCAGCCCTGCTTTTTCCCACAAATGCTTTTCCTGGAAAGTTATCACAGAGTCCCGCAGCTAGACCCCAGGAGAGGCCCGCGACCTACCAGACACCCCAAGACTACATTCTAGGGGAAAAACGTAAGGGTCTGCAAAGTGGGCACCAGATTAAAGAGCCCCCATTTCCCGAGTGCTTACTGGATCCCAGTCCTCTGAGGTAGGCATTGGCACCATCCCTGTTTATGACTGAAAGTGATGCTGGCAGCCCTGGTGAGGACCCAGAGGGGATCCCAGGGAACCAGTCAAGAGGGTCCCTGGATGCACGCAAGGGTAGAAATCAAACAGGAGCCAGCAGGAGGTGAAAGAGTTTATTGAAGGTATGGAGAGAGTGCAGGTAGAGTGGGAGACTCAGAAAGGAGAGAGCCTCGTCTTTGCTGCGGGTCTGGGTTTTTTATTGAGGATTGTGATCTGGTGTATACTCCTCGCAGGCATCCAGAAACCAGCTAGAACAAAGAGGAGGGCCCAGGAGTTATTCTTTGGAGCCAGGGGGTCTTGACCTGGAACTGTCTAGGCCAGTGGTCTGGAATACGCATACGATAGCTTCCGCTGGTTATTCTCACCTGGTCCTTCCTTAGATGCTATCTATTCTAAAGAAATCATGAACTCCCTGTCCCTTACAAGGACATATGCTATTTGCACGATGAGACATGTGTAAAGTGGGGGTGCAGGTCCTAGCAAGAATAGGAGCAGGAAAAGGAACGAAACGCAGATTTTATCAAGTCCTTCGGTTTCCCCTGTCTCAGGAGGAAATTGAGGCTTGAGAAGGTGAATGACTGACTCCGAAGCCACGCTGACTGATGTCCCAGCAGGGATTTGAGCCCACGCGGTGGCACACCCACATGTGCATGCCGAAAGTCGTGGCCACGCCAGGGGCAGCTAGTCCATTTGATACCGACTTCCGGTTACATTATTGCGAGGTCTGCGACCAGGCGCTTCCCCGCTTGCCAGTTCGGGACCCTCACACAGGAACGGTCTACCGAGGCCGCTGCGCACGCCGGTCAGGTGGCTTGGACAGACAGAGCTTGGCGGCCAATGAGAGTCTTAGGCTTCCGCAGCTAAGCCAATCGCAGCCAGGCAAAGGCACGTGGGGCGGAGCCGGACCCGCTGTTGGCCGAAACCCCTGCCACTCCAGAACGCCCTGCTGGTCAGACTCAGCCAGGACCTCGCTGCTGCTCTCCAGGTTATCCGGCGTACCTGCCCTTTCTATTTCTTCGCCCCTCGTCTCTCATCCCCTTAATTTTTAGAGGGCCATAACTCTTTAAGAGAAGCATTGAACAACAAATGTTTTAACGATCCAGCCCTGTGAGGTAGGTGCTATTATGGTAGATGAAGAAACAGGCTTAGGGAAGACCACAGTCGGGAAGTTTCCAGACGGAACTGGAAGCAGAGGCTCTGGCTCCTGCTTCTAAGTATATATTGGGAGATTAGGCATTTATAATGACTCAGGGAACCCTGTCACGTGCAAGGCAGAGGAATGAAATGAAAAAGGTGGAGGAACACTACATTCCAGGTGGGGAGGCGTACATACGGCCAATGATGATGTGAGGTAGAAAAGTACCAACTTCCAGAATCGTATCAATTTGTCCGTTCAACAGATACCTGAACATCTACCATTTGCAGCCTCCTCCAAACACACGGATCCCTAGGTGGAGTTGAGACAAATTATTTGGGTGGGGAGAGTATTACGCTTGTTTTTACACAAAAACGAATATAGATAACAAAAATGGCCATTCATCCCAACATACAAATAACGTGCTGATTTAAAAAGAAAAGGAAAGCTGGCTTTGAGCTATGCCTCGAATGGAAAGGACATCAATATAACCACGGAATGAGTGCAGGGAATAGAAGTCTAAGAGGAATCCAAGACAGCTGCAGTCTGGGGAGTGGGAGGCTAAGGGTGCTATAGATAGAAATAAGAAATATGGAATTTGGATATGAAAACATGACATTAAGGATCTCTTCCTAAGGAGCGTGGCGCCAGGAGCTTTGGAATCCAGGAAAACCTGGATTAAGTGTCACTGAAACAGACCACTAAAGATAGAAGGTTCAAGGGTGCCTGGGTGGCTGTTGGCTAAGCATCTGACTTCGGCTCAGGTCATGATCTCATGGTTCATGGGTTGGAGCCTGGCATCGGGCTCTGTGCTGACAGCTCAGAGCCTAGAGCCTCCTTCAGATTCTGTGTCTCCCCTTCTCTCTGCCCCTCCCCGCTCACACTCTATCTCTCTCCATCTCTCAAAAATGAATTAACGTTAAAAAAAAATTTTTTTTTAAGCATTAAAAAAAAAAAAAGAAGAAGAAGAAGGTTTAAAAAAGGTATAGGGGCACCTGGGTGGCCCAGTCGGTTTAGCGTGGGCTCTTGATTTCAGCTCAGGTCATGATCTCATTGTTCATGGGATCAAGGCCTGTGTCAGGCTCTGTGCTGACAGCACGGAGTCTGCTTGGGATTCTCTCTCTCCCTGCCCCTCCTCCACTCTCTCAAAATAAACAAACTTAAAAAAACGTATATAAAGCAGAATTGTGACTACATATATTTACTTAAGGGACTTTATGCAGCAATGTATCCAAATATTTACAACACAGTCTAAGTATTTCTTTGGAAATCAGAGAACCCAAGAAAGTTGAGATCAAGCAGGTGGGATGAGTCCAAATAGCTTCTAAAAGGTGAGTTTCCAGGGGCGCCTGGGTGGCGCAGTCGGTTAAGCGTCCGACTTCAGCCAGGTCACGATCTCGCGCTCCGTGAGTTCAAGCCCCGCGTCAGGCTCTGGGCTGATGGCTCGGAGCCTGGAGCCTGTTTCCGATTCTGTGTCTCCCTCTCTCTCTCTGCCCCTCCCCCGTTCATGCTCTGTCTCTCTCTGTCCCAAAAAATAAATAAATAAATAAATGAATAAATAAACGTTAAAAGGTGAGTTTCCAGTTATTTCAAAAAAGGACAGGATTGGCAGGTAAGAATCTGGGCAACAGAATACACAGAGCTAAAGAACAGGAAGTAGATTAGTGGTTGCCTAGGGCTGGGAGGCAGGAGGGTGGGGAGTGTACTTAAAAAAGTAGTGGGTTTTTTGGAGGGTGAAAATGTTCTAAAATGGATTGTGGCAACAGTTGCACAACTGTGAAAATATACTAAAGACCACTGAATTGTACATTTTCAGTGGGTGAACTGTATGGTAGAGTTATATCTCAATAAAGTAGTTATAAAAACAATCTGGGTAAAAAAATCAAAGGGCAGAACTGGAGAGTTATGTAAACTTAGCTGGTTGGTGATGGTGAGTTGCACTGGTCCTGAGAGGGGCTCTGGAGGGCCTAGGGGAACAATGATAAAGGCAGAAACAAAGTCACCCAATAACTGGCTCATCTTCCTTCTCCTGTGATACACCCTTGAATGTTTAATGCTGTGAGCTACAAGGAAACCCAGAAGGGACGAGCGGAAGGGAGCGCCTCAGAAGGGCAACTGGTTTGGCATAAAGAGATGGGCACAGCTTTTGAAAATGGATGCTCCACTGACATATGGAAGAAAGAAAAACAGGAAAAACTTGGCGTAGAGAAGCAGGAAGGAAAATGAAGTCGAAAGAGAAAACAGGAGAGGGGAGAAGCAGAAAGAAGCGGCTTTTTTGCCCTTCTTCATAAACACAGACCTTCGCAGAATGGCACCGGCTACCAGGGTTGTCTCTAGGCTGGTGACACCCCCTAACCAAACACTGTGGACTGTTTTAATAAGGAGGAAAGTAAGGAGCTGTTAGCATTTATTATTCTCGTCAAAGTAATAATACTAGCCCTCACAGAGCATTTACTATGTGTCATGTGCCGTCCTTTATTTATATTTCTTAATCTTCTTAACAATCCTACAAGTACTATCATCATCACTTCAAATAAAGAAATTAAGGCAGAGAGGTAAAGCAACATGTCCAAAGTGGACAGTTAGTAAGTGGCTTACCAGGACTGTTCAGGGACCCCAGTGATCTGGCTCTGGTTTGTGCTGTTTACAACACAGTCCAAACCCTCAAAATAACGCTAGCATAGTCCACAGCTCCAAGTGTAATTCCAAAATTACTCTTTTTTTTTTTTCATTTACAAAATAAGATTCTTAATGACCCCAGTGATGCTGGGGTATTGCACAGCAACCTGGTCTGTCAGTAGTCATCCTCACCATTTCAGAGTTGAGGAGACCAAGCCTCAGATAGGTTAAGGAAATTTCCTGAAGTCATACCGTTCATGAATGACCGAGTCAGCGTCAGAATCCATGACTCTAATGACCTTAACAGTTATACTTGGAAGCAGTTTAAAAAACACACTCGGGGGCCTGGCTGGCCTAGTCAGTGAAGCATACGGCTCTTGATCTTGGGGTCATGAGTTCGAGCCCCACATTGGGTGTGGAGTCTACTTAAAAATGTATAGATATAGGGGTGCCTGGGGATCTCAGTCCGTTAAACATCCAACTTCAGCTAAAGTCATGATCTTGCAGTCTGTGAATTCAAGCCCCACGTCAGGCTCTGTGCTGATAGCAGTCCTGGAGCCTGCTTCAGATTCTGTGTCTCCCTCTCTCTCTGCTCCTCCCCCACTCATGCTCTGTCTCTGTCTCTGAAAAATGAATATTTTTTTTTTAATTTTTTTTTTCTACGTTTATTTATTTTTGGGACAGAGAGAGACAGAGCATGAACGGGGGAGGGGCAGAGAGAGAGGGAGACACAGAATCGGAAACAGGCTCCAGGCTCTGAGCCATCAGCCCAGAGCCCGACGCGGGGCTCGAACTCACGGACCGTGAGATCGTGACCTGGCTGAAGTCGGACGCTTAACCGACTGCGCCACCCAGGCGCCCCATGAAAAATGAATAAATGTTTAAAAATTTTAATATATAGGTATAAATTAAAACGCACACACACAGTTGTATATTTGACAGTGGGAAGAAACAGTAGAAATCCACCATTCTTTACTGTCTTGTCCTAGGAAACCAGATGTTTCTATAGTTCAAATGTCTCTGCTAAATAACATTAACTTTTGAACTTTCAGAATAAATGTCAGAGAAAGTGGCACAGTCTTTGTCAGTGATCTCTTTTTGGGTTGTACCTTAGAAATATCACCCAAACATGAAGTGTTTCCTTATATATAAAATGTGAGTGATGGCTGCTATACTAACCTCAGAGGATCATTACATAAATGTGATTTGTTATATATTAAAGGATATGGTATGAAGACAATGAAGAGAGTCATATAGCCAGGTGGTTCTAGGTGTTACTAATTTCCATGTTTGTAAAATGCAGATACCACGTATAGAAATACTGGAAGAACATGGAACACCTACGTGGCTCAGTCGGTTAAGCGTCTGACTCTTGATTTTGGCTCAGGTCATAAGCCCATGCGCTGGGCATAGAGCCTGCTTAAGATTCTCTCTCTCCTTCTGCCCCTCCCCAACTCATGTGCACGCTCTCTAAAAAAAGGAAGAAAAGAAAAAAATACCGTAAGGACAAATGGGAAACATACTGAAAGCACTTGGGAAAATACCTCACACAGACCAGTCCTGGATATGCGTTTATGACAAAATAAATATGTTGGCCCTTTTCCTAAGAGTACTTTCTTGCATGTCCAGAATTAGACATCGTTCATTTGATAGGTAACAAAATAAAAATTATTTATAGTACATTAGATGGGCAACAACATTGATAAAGTACTATAGTCACTAAGTTCTGTGGATATTTGCTCTGAAAGCTTTTGGAGGACATCCTTTCCAATTCCCTGGTTTCTTAGATGAAGAAACAGAATCCTTGGTCTCAATCTGGAATCCTCAAAGCCTTCTGATTGAAGCTCAGACTTCAGAGGTGGGGACGGGCCAGAATTCTAGTTCACTCAGTGCACATGCCCCACCTTGAGGAGGGTATAAATTGTTCTTTTTCCACCCTTCTTGAACATTTTCTTCCAAAGCCCAAGTGGCAAAATAACAAAGTGGAAAGAGAATTGGCAAAGTGGTCACAGAGACAGATAACCACTTAGCCCACTTGGGAGGGAGAGACACCAGTGAGAAAAGGTCACCATGCCACTATGGAATGTCCATTACGGCAAATTGCTGCCATCAGAGCACATCCAGCCATACTCACAACAAAGGCTGTCTGATAAGAGTGAATGAGAAGATGCTGATGGGTGTGCTTTGGACCTAAACAAACAGAAACTGCAGAAACCTGCTCGTTCTCAGCTCAGTTGTTTAAAATACAGTATACAGGATCACAGAAACTTAAAACTGGGAAGTTCAGGAATCACTAACACTCCCGTTTCATTTGTTTTGTTTACTTATTTTAAATGTTTATTTTTGACAGAGCCCATGCAGGAGGGAGACAGAGGGTGACAGAGGATCCGAAGCAGTGTGTGCACTGACATCAACAAGCCCGATGTGGGCCTCAAACTCACGAACTATGAGATCATGACCTAAGCCAAAGTCAGAAGCTCAACCAACTGGGCCACCCAGGTGCCCCACTAACACTTATAACATGCAGATGGGGAAGCAGGTCCAAGGTTAGACAGCAGAGTGAGGGCCAGAAATTGAGGCTTGTGACTTGCAATCTTATGCTTTTGTAGATCTGCTCAAGGAGCTGATCTCTCAGAGCTCAAGCTCTGCTCGAGTTTGATGCAGTTCTGAGATGCTTAACCCAGAGACCACCAGGCGGTGATGGACCATCCGTTATGTGCCATCTCCTTCTGTTTAGAGGGATGAGGCTAGCAAACACTGAACAATTAAAACATTAAGGCTGCAAATCTTTAAAGCTAACTAGGGAGACATAAAGACCACAGAAGGCTAGAATATTAGGAAGGCCTCAAGAAAATGGGACTTGAGCTTTTTTTTTTTTTTAAATATTTCTTTTGAAGTTTATGTTTTTATTTTGAGAGATCGTGTGCGAATGGGGGCGGGGCAGAGAAATCAGGAGACAGAATCCCAAGCAGGCTCCTTAGCAGAGCCTGAGGCAGGGTTCGAACTCACAAACTGTGAGATCATGACCTGAGCCGAAATCAACGGACGCTTAACCAACTAAGCCACCCAGGCGCCCCTTGAGCTGTGCTTTAAATCAGGACTTTCCAACCAGCAACCTGTGGACGAGATTCAGCCTGCATTTTCCCATTGTGATGATCTGTAGTTTTTTTTCTTCTTTCCCCAAACTTGGGACTTTCACATAAAAATCCCAATTGTGGAGTGTCACGAAAAGTGCAGCACTAGGTCTGTATTCACAGTAGCAATAAAGACAAGAGCTGTGAGGCAGCTGCCCCCGTAGCTACTGCATAAATCTTCAGCCAAACACCCACAGTTCACTCTCATTACTTCTGTGACTCCTTGGGCACTGGATGCGCTGTTCATGTTTTTAGAAAGGGGCAAGACAGCCCAGATAGGAGAGTAAGACACAAAAGTGACAATGAGTGGGAATGTTATACGGTAGGAGAAAAATACGCTCCCGAGGCCAAGACATAGCTGAAACTAAAAGAGTCGGGGGCGGCGGGGGAGACTGTACGACCATCTCAATAAAAAAACAAAAATGAACAAATAAATTGTGTGCTGCTGCTGGGTCAAGAATGCCAGCTTCAGGGGCGCCTGGGTGGCGCAGTCGGTTAAGCGTCCGACTTCAGCCAGGTCACGATCTCGCGGTCCGTGAGTTCGAGCCCTGCATCCGGCTCTGGGCTGATGGCTCGGAGCCTGGAGCCTGTTTCCGATTCTGTGTCTCCCTCTCACTCTGCCCCTCCCCCGTTCATGCTCTGTCCCTCTCTGTCCCAAAAATAAATAAAAAACGTTGAAAAAAAAAATTTAAAAAGAATGCCAACTTCACACACAAAAGTTAACATACTCATTTTCCTTCCACTGAGTATCTTCATTTTGGCATATTTAAAAATGAACACAAACTGCATTTAAAAGAAAAAGTTTTTTTAATATTTATTTTTGAGAGAGAGACAGAGTGTGAGTAGGGAAGGAGCAGAGAGAGAGGTAGACAGAATCCGAAGCAGGCTCCAGGCCCTGAGCTGTCAGCACAGAGTCTGACATGGGGCTCAAACTCACAAACTGTGAGATCATAACCTGAGCCAATGTCAGACGCTCAACCGACTGAGCCCCCCAAGCACCCCTAACACAAACTGCATTTTATTTTATTTTTTTTATTTTTTAACGTTTATTTTATTTTTGAAACAGAGAGAGACAGAGCATGAATGGGGGAGGGCCAGAGAGAGAGGGAGACACAGAATCTGAAATAGGCTCCAGGCTCTGAGCTGTCAGCACAGAGCCTGATGCGGGGCTCGAACTCACGGACCGCGAGATCATGACCTGAGCCGAAGCCGGACGCTTACCCGACTGAGCCACCCAGGCGCCCCACAAACTGCATTTTAAAATTCACATAAAACAGTTAATAAATTATAAATTTATTATAAATAAAAGGAAATAGAATTCGTATTGTGTAATTAAAACTGACTTGCTTTTACTGAACCCCATTACACAGCACTGGTGGTAAGAGGTGCGGTTACCCGTTTTTTTTCCCAGTGAAGACTATACCCTACTTGGCTTAATACATCCCAAGAGCTCTTATTCTGGATTCAGTTCTTCCACTGGACTCACAATATCCCGCTGCTCATTTTCACAATCAATGTCCCAAATAGCACATGATATACAAAGGGGTCTATGAACAAAAGGGACCTGGGTTAGCCTGGAAATTCACCCTGACAAAAGGCAGAGAGGTTCTTCTAGACAGTTTTTGCTTAGAGGGCCACAATTCAAATAAACAAAATGTACCTCAAAATAAAGAAGGGGAAGAAACACCACCCCAGTGATCCTGCTATGTATTCACTGCAAGAACTACTATTCAAATGGTAGGCTCTTGGCCTAGTCTCCATTAGCTCTATTTTCTAGAGAGCTAGCAAAAGATACAGTGCTGAGAACACTTCGGAAGCTCACCATTTCATTTTAGGTCAAGTTTAGCATGCCGTAATGGTATCTGGCACCACCCAGTGGCAATCTTTTCTCCTGTATGTGCGAATAAATAGCAACTTTGCAAATTCTTGTGGTGGCAACAAATACCTCAATCAATGAATAGAGAACAGAATAATCTTGCAAATCAAACAGAAGCAGTTTCATTACATTGCCTACTTTGAGAAGTTTAGGTCATTTTTAACGTGGTTTTTTTCCACAATGAAGAACTTAGAAAAACACAAAGAAATGTAAAACACTTTTCTTCTCCAACTGTATAAATATATGGGCTTTAATATAAAATCACACTAGAAGGGCCCATTTTTTTATTTAAAAATTTTTTTAATGTTTATTTATTTTTTGAGAGAGAGAAAGAAACAGAGTGAGACTAGGGGTGGAGCAGAGACAGAGGGAGACACAATCTGAAGCAGGCTCCAGGCTCCAAGCTGTCAGCACAGAGCCTGATACAACGTTCGAACCCATGAACTGCAGTGAGAATCATGATCTGAGCTGAAGTCTGACACTTAACTGACCGAGCCACCCAGGCACTCCTGGAAGGGGCTCATTTGTAAGGGCACTGACTTGTTCTTACGAGAAAATAGGAAAAGTGTCCAGACATTAGTGCTTTAAAACAGTGAGAAAGAGAGAAACTCAGGACTCTTTCTACAGAAGTCTTCCAACTGTTCCAACTATAATTATTTCTTCTAAGAAAACAGAGTGGCATACAGGATGGCTCTGTCCCACAGGAAATCTAAAACAAAACCTCTCTTTAATGTATATATAGAAAATATATGTGTTAACCAATTCAGAAAAAAGCAAAGTCCTGGTTGTAGGATTTCTCAAATTATTATTTTTTTTTCAAACTGAATTCGATAAGACTATGGAAGGTTCAAAGAGTATCCTGGGCTGCTGCTGACACCGTTGGTCCCTCTGGGGACCAGGCAGGACGTTTCACTAGAAGGGTGCTACTACAGCAGGGGACTAAGAGATGAGAAGCCATACTTGCCACCTGAAGAATTCTTTAAAGTTTGAGTATTTGCGTAACACGGACCAAACCTGCACCTTGATGTTCCATTTCTGAAAGTCACACTTTAAGTTAAAAAGTTCTGTTCTGTGGGCGCCCGGGTGGCTGAGTTGGTTAAGTGTCTGACTTTGGCTCAGGTCATGATCTTGCGGTTCATGAATTTGAGCCCTACGTCGGGCTCTGTGCTGTCAGTGCAGAGCCCACTTCGGATCTTCTGTCTGTCTCTCTCTGTCCCTTCTCCAGTCACACTCTCTCTAGTTCGAAAATAAACAAACATTAAAAAAAAAAAAAGTTCTGTTCTGCAAATCTCCATGTATCAACAGATACTGTAGAATTTATATCATGGTATCTTCTTAAAAAGAAGAGAAAAAACAGTTCTTCATAGGAGGGGGTTTTTCTTGTTTTTTTGGTATCTTAAATGTCAATGATCACAAAAACTTCTGACTTCTCTTCATTATAGACCTGCATTGCTGAGTACGTTATTGCCTTGACTTCAGTGCCCTAAAGTTGGGGTTAGAGAAAAAACAAATAGGAAAAAATGAAAATCAAACTCAGGATCAGTAACTCTACAACAATAGGCAGAAAGGCCAAATTTTACTATTATTCTGAAAAACTAAAAACTCACGTGATACAAGCAGTTATTTGTACAGCATTGTACAGTCATCCGGTAAAAATGAGAAGCCACATGTGCACAGGGAAAGAGCGCTGACTGGGAGGTAAGAGATGAAGCTCTAATCCTGGCTTTGTTTCCACCTGGATAAGGAGGCTGGCTGATCTCTCCAGCATCCCCTTTTTCATTTACCAAGTGGACTGAGTCAAGGAGCCCAAAGCTTTCCTACGGTCTGGCTCAGAGCTCCTTCTTGGGACCTCCTCCTTATAGTCTAACCTGGGGCCTAGGAACACAGACTCCTCTCCTCCTCAGCTGCCAACTCACTTTACTTCCTGGGTTCTCTCTCCACATGTTTCTGATACATGACAATCCCCCCTCGCCTGCCCTGGTTTAAAACCACAGGATTAGATGTTCTCTTGGTTCCTTCCCATTCTAGAAAAGAATCTATAATAATTCTTTGCAGCACAAAACATAGCCAGCAATAGGCAACTGGCATTTGCTAGCTCTATGGCACAAAAGAAATCTGAACGTTTCCCAGATGGATCTGAATGGCACCCACCTTTGCTTTTTTCCCTCCGCCATAATCACCCGGTGAAACCACAACCTAAATCAAATTCAACTTTCTGCCTACGGCAGCACACACCATACTAAGTGGTGTCACTTTAAATCACATCCACAATCTCAAAAGGGCACTCAGCACTGACTAGTCATCCTACATTTGCCACTAAATTCCCTTGCTCAGTCTCTGAAACAATTACTTTCCATCTTCACCTCTAGGATTCCTCCCTCATTCTCACCCTCACACCAGGCCTCCTAGAGAAAACAGGAGCAATCAGTAAGAAGTGACTTATCTTCTCCATCCGTACTCACATTAGCCTTTCCTCCTATTACAATGAACAGCCCGTCCCCTGCTCCTATCAGAAGATCAGCTCCTGTACCTGAACACACCACCCCACACCCCCCTTTACCAAAACTTAAGGTCTTTGTTCTGAAATTATTCTCTTCCTCTCCAGCATGATCAATTTGCCCCAAGTTCCTAGATCACTTCCACACAGCCTACGCTGGTGCTACAAACCTTGTAGCTAAAACAAGACACACACACACACACACACACACACACACACACACACACACACACACACAAACTCCTCCCTTTCCAACCGCATTCCCCTCTGGCTAGTATTGTTCTATTTGTTCCCCTTTTCAAACTCTTCAAAAGAACTGTCTCAATACACTGCCTCCACTTTCCTATCTTTCATTCTCTCTTTGACCCATGTATCTTTCCACTGATTAGTAAACCCATGGATAATTCTCAATCCTCATCTTACGCAACCTCTGAGCGGTCTCAAGATCATTAGATATCTGGCTTTAGGGCACCCCCTCTTCTTTTGCTCCCTTTCATGAGGTTCTCCTTGTCTTTTACTTTTTGGCTCTGTCTCTTCCAAACTTAGTACCCCAGGGCTCAGTCCCCTCTATACTCTCTCTTATCTATACTCCCTCCAACATAATCTCATCTAATCCTATGGCTATAGATATCCTCTGCTCAGTGGTGGCTCCCAGATTTATGTTTGCAGAGATAGCTATCTCCTGAATAAGACATCCTATAGGCAAATGCCTATTATGAGACATTTCCATTTAGATGTCTAATATATACCTCACACATAAGATGTTCAAAAGAAAATTCCACGTGTCATTTGTATTGTAATTCACATGCTCCCTTCTAGCGGTTTCTCTCTTTTTAAGCTTCTCTCCCAAAGTTCCCTCATCAGGCTTCATTTCATTATGTTGTGTTTGAAGAAATGATACTGCAGCTACTAGAAGCAACCAGGACTTCCCAGTCACCCTCAACTAATTTAGGTCTCTTTGGCCTAAACACAAGGGTCAGCAACTTGCAAATCACAGGGCAAACCCAGGCTGCCACCTGGTTTTGTATAGTCCTACCACCTAAGGATGGTTTTTACATGTCTAAATGGTTGGGGGGGATAAAACCACAAAAGAATACCTCATGACATTTGAAAATGATATGAAATTGATATTTCAATGTCCATGAAGTTTTACTGGGATACAACCACATTCATTCGTTTATGTATTGTCTATGGTGGCTATAGTGATACAATAAAGGAGCTAAATATTGTTCTTCTATCACTCTTGTTCCACAAAGCTTTAAATATTATCTAGCCCTTTACAGAAAAAATTTGCCTCCCCCATTCCTACATACAGATTTGACTGGTATAGAGTGGAGTCATACAGGTTGGCAAATACAGAATCCGGAGAAGCACAGAAAGTAGAAGGTACTTTAGAGAACATTCAGTCTAAAACCTTCATCACAGGAAGAGATACAGAAGCTTGAAAAGGCAAAAGGACTTTTAAACCCCATAAAAACCTATAACAAACTTGACCCTGGAGCCCAAGTACTGACTCCTAATCCACCAAATCAGATGCGTGGAATCAGCGCTTAAACATAACATGGTCGGGGCGCCTGGGTGGCTCGGTCGGTTAAGCGGCCGACTTCGGCTCAGGTCATGATCTCACATCCGTGAGTTCGAGCCCCGCGTCGGGCTCTGGGCTGACAGCTCAGAGCCTGGAGCCTGTTTCAGATGCTGTGTCTCCCTCTCTCTGACCCTCTCCCGTTCGTGCTCTGTCTCTCCCTGTCTCAAAAATAAACGTTAAAAAAAAAAAAAAATTAAAAAAAAAAAAAAAAACATAACATGGTCAGGGAAGCCTGAGGAAAACTCACCACTTACTTCACACCAATTTATTAGAACTCACTAAAGTTTACTGGCATATACTAACTTTATGGTAAGAAAGTAGAAAATGTTTTTAATGGCTGGATTTAAACACATACCTGAGGGTGCTTGGACAATGAAAATTCTTCTCCCCACCTTGAGAAGGAAAATTAAAACATGATTTAGACTTCCAGGATTTAATACCTGTTCTCCCTTTACATATTTTAAAATAAATCTTATAAATGTGGTTAAGATATGAGAAGGCCAAAAGAGATGGGAGGGATAAGGGGCTTTAAATTTCAGTTTGAGGGGCACCTGGGTGGCTCAGTCAGTTAAGCGTCCAACTTCGACTCGGGTCATGATCTCGTGGTTCGTGAGTTAGAGCCGCGCATTTGGCTCTGTGCTGACAGCACAGAGCATGAAGCCTAGAGACTGTTTGTAGTTCTGCATCTCCCTCTCTGCCCCTGTGTCTCCCTCTCTCTGCCCCTCCCCCACTCATGCACCTGCACTCTCTCTCAAAAATAAGCATTAAAAAATGTTTTTAATAGGGGCACCTGGGTGGCTCAGTCAGTTGAGCAGCCAACTTCGGCTCAAGTCATGATCTCACGGTCAGTGAGTTCAAGCCCCACATCAGGCTCTGTGCTGACAGCTCAGAGCCTGGAGCCTGCTTCAGCTTCTGTGTCTCCCTCTCTCTCTGCCCCTCCCCTGCTCATGCTTTGTCTCTTTCTCAAAAACAAATAAACATTAAAAAAAAGTTTTTAATAAATAAATACAGCCGCATGTTCAAAATTTTCACTGTACTCAAGGCTATACAATGATTTAAATACTATCTCCCACTGGAGAAAGTAGGCCTGAGTATCACAGAGGCAAAATACTACATTCTGTAATATGCTCTTATTTTATAACTTTTGAGAAAATGTCCATGGTCTGTGCATAGAAGGCCCTAGAAGGGTACTTTCCTAGAACCCGGGATAAGTATCTTCTCTCCCTTCAAGATGAATGTGGCTAGAGATCACAGTTGGAGAAGCAGTATTGGTAGTAAAAAGAACAAAGTTTTAAATTTCTGTTCAACCATTTATTAGCTAAATACCCTTGGATAAGGCTGATTCCATACCCATTAAAAAAAAAAAAAAGGAGGGAGAAGAATAAAAGACCTCACTTTACAAAAAGAAAAAAGAAATGAATCAAATTCAACATGAAGTGGAAAAAATAGGCTTTACATAGAAATAACCTAAAAGAGGGGAGCCTGGGTAGCTCAGCTGGTTGAGTATACGGCTCTTGATTTCAGCTCAGTTCATGATCACACGGCTGTGGGACTGAGCCCTACGTGGGGTTCACACTGAGCATGGAGCCTGCTTATGATTCTCTCTCTCTGCCCCTCTACCCTACTCACACTCTCTCTAAAATAAATCTTAAAAACAAAACAAAACAAAACAAACCAGGGGCGCCTGGGTGGCTCAGTTGGTTAAGTGTCTGACTTTGGCTCAGCTCATGATCACAGTTCGTGGGTTCGAGTCCTGCATTGGGCTCTGCTGTACTGACAGCTCAGAGCCTGGAGTCTGCTTCAGATTCTGTGTCTCCCTCTCTTTCTGTCCCTCCTGGGCTTGCACTCTCTCTCTCTCTCGATAATAAATAAACATAAAAAAAAAATCAATAAATTGGGAATCAGGTTTAAGAACCAAAATTAACTCTGTTCTGACACATTTCTGGTCTTCCAAAGCTAAGGACCAAAGCCCTTGCTCCTAGGGTTCACAAAGCTTAATCTGCAGAGGCCCACTGGGCTGCAATGGGACCTCTGACTTAACATTTCTGTCTTCCTGCCCAGTACGTTCAGTGAAGAATATAATTTTAACATCTTTCATGGCTTGTTACTTAAAAAGATCTTCAAAACATACCCAATTGACCGTAATTTGAAATTTCTTTGATCGATATGAAGTACCTTCACTTCCTAAAGAGGAAAAGAAAATTTAATTAAAAAAAATGTTCATAATAGACCATCTACTAAAACATGTCTAATAACTGTCAAAACACTATGTTGTACACCTGAAACTGACATAATATTGTATGTCAATTATACTTTAATTAACAAAAATATGTCTAGGTTGTCCCCTTTCCTAGAAAATAACAATGTACAACTTCCCTGAATTAAAGAAAATGAAAATGTTAACTAAAGTAGAACAACAAACTAAATATATTTCAAGGAAATAAGGTTTTTTTCTTATATAGTAAAGAGAAACGTTCTTGAAAAATGTACACTCTAAAAACAGGAGTCAAGAACTTTCTCTGTAAAATAGAATAGAATGATACAGGATTTCAATCATTCTTGGCCCATTTTTAACTAACACTGTAGGCTCTTGAACTCTGCAGAACAAGGGACCAGTTAGAAGAGTGTATGTAGCATAGCTGGGAAGGGAGAAAATGGAGTGATTATGGAAGCAAGGAAGCAAGGCGCTGTGTGTTAGGTAACAGTGATGTTGAGATAGATTCCCTTCTAGAGGCTGATGGCAACAGGCAATCTCCATTTGGATTTTCCTTTTTCATGTTAAGGAAAACTGACAGCAATGTTTAAATTTAGGCCAACATGGCAGAGTTGCTAAATTTCACATGGGACAAAGGAACATATGGATGGACATAAATATAGCTCAAACTAGGGAGACATAAAAAGTGTGGGTAAAGACAGCAGGTGCATTCTTATCACACAATCCTGATTAGTGACAAGTATATGGTAAGAGATCTAAATATTACAAGATGCATATACATAGGCAAAAGCAGATTAACCAAGGAGTCCCTGTTTTCTACAAATCAGTATCATCTTAGGATCTGTATGGCTTGGTTTTGCATCACACATTCTATTCTCAATCATTTGTTCTCTTAAAATCTGAACTAGAACCCATTTGCTCAGTAAAAAAGAAAAACCGTTGCTTACCCGGGGTATGAAGAATTCGTCAGCACTGAACTTATAAAGCCACTCATCCAAAAAGTGAAACAGAAGAGACTCTAAGTCATCTCCTACACAGGATCAAGAAGAACCATGACAGTATGATGTTTAATGATTCTCCTCTCTAAAAACTTGTTTGAATTTAAAAGTGTAATGAATTTCTTAGGCTAGCTGAAAAGAGGAAGAACAAGCTCATAATTAATTTAGTTGCTCTTATTGTGAAAATATACTGAAATCATGTACAACACTGCACATTTGCATAACAATTTCTTCCCTGAAAACAAATTGGTTACCTTGGGTTTCTACTTCTAGTGTTTGGAGGGGCTCCACAGTCCCAGTATCTGTCATGTAACCAAACATGGCCATTGCACATTGCTCAAATGCTTCCTCCAGAGTATCTCCCCACGCATGTAACCTAAAGAAATACATTTATGCCCTGTGTAATAAAATTCAAGAGAGCAAGAGAGAAAACTTGACAGCAAAGTCAAAACAAAATTAGCATGGTAAATACAAAACCGAAGGCAGCAATCAATTTAATGGCACAGAAACTGGGTTCTTTTAAACCATCATTTTCATGTTGTAAAGGAACGAAAATAGGAAGAGAAAATTAAAATTAGGGACATCAAGGGGCATCTAGGTGGTTCAGTTGGTTAAGTGTCCAACTCTTGATCTCAGCTCAGGTCATGATCTCACAGTTTGTGGGTCTGAGCCCCACGTCAGGCTCTGTGCTGACAGAGAGGATTCTCCCTCTCCCTCGCTGTCTGTCCCTCCCTGGGTTGTGTGTGCATCTGTGTGCACATTCTCTCTCCCTCCCTCACAAAATAAATAAACTTTAAAAAATAAATAGATAAATAATAAAATAAAATTAGGGACATCGAGATTAAAACATCGGACTTCCTATTTAAGAACATGATTTCAAAGACATAAATTGCAGGTATACTCACTGGACATCTGCCGTATGATCCAAATCTGAGGGAGAGAGGGGAAAACACATATGTCATTGAACTTGACTTGCAAGTCACAAGAAACTCTAGTTCATTATTAAGAATATTATCCTTCTGTGGTGCCTGGATGGCTCAGTCAGTTGAGCATTCAACTCTGTTTCAGGTCATGATCTCACGGGGTTCAAGAGTTCGAGCCCCCCTCAGGCTCACTGCTGTCAGCACAGGCACGCTTCAGAGCCTGTCTCCCTCTCTCTCTGCCCCTCCTCTTCTTGCTCTCTCTTTCAAAAATAAATTATTGAAAAAAAAAAAAGTAGGGGCGCCTGGGTGGCTCAGTCAGTTAAGTGTCCGACTTCAGCTCAGGTCATGATCTCACGGTTCACTGAGTTGGGAGCCCCGTGTCGGACTCTCTGCTGTCAGCATAGAGTCCGCTTCAGATCCTCTGTCTCCCTCTCTGTGCCCCTACATTCGTGCTTTCTCTCTCTCTCTCAAAAGTAAACAAACATTAAAAAATTTAAAAAAAAAGTAAACTCAACACGACGTTTATGAACTTCTTCCTGATTATCCCCACAGAAACACCTGAAAGCAACACCTGCTACTACAGCAAACTCCCACTGGATCTGTTATCCCAACATTTCAGTCTACTCTTCACTGGTATCATGACTTCTGTCAGTTCTTCCTACTTAGATCATTGAATATTCAGGCTAGAAGGAAGCCTTGCAGCTCATTTAATATAATTCCCTCATGGACAAGAAGAAAACTGGGGCACCTGGCTGGCTCAATCTGTAGAGCGCGTGACTTCTTGACCTTGGGTTGTGAGTTTGAGACCATGTTGGGTGTAGAGATTACTTTAAAATTTTTTTTAAAAAGAAGAAGAGGGCGCCTGGGTGGCGCAGTCGGTTGAGCGTCCGACTTCAGCCAGGTCACGATCTCGCGGTCCGTGAGTTTGAGCCCCGCGTCAGGCTCTGGGCTGATGGCTCAGAGCCTGGAGCCTGTTTCCGATTCTGTGTCTCCCTCTCTCTCTGCCCCTCCCCCGTTCATGCTGTGTCTCTCTCTGTCCCAAAAATAAATAAATGTTGAAAAAAAATTTTTTTTAAATAAAAAAATAAAAAGAAGAAGAAACCTGAAATCCGAAGAGATCGTGGGACTTGTTAAAGACTACTGTTGTTTAGAGGCAAAGTTGGGCCTAGAATTGAGACGTCCTGAGTGCCAGTGTAGTAGATTTTGTACCATAACACATAGTTTTTTGGTGACACTCAAGGCTCAAATTCTTCTCCAAGTCACTCAAAAATATTCCTGTGGACTTAATATGTTTTAGGCACCAGAGATGACCAGCAGAGATGATAAAGAAGTTAAAAGAAAATGACAGGTATTAACCTTAGAGTAATGAAAGCATGTGTCCAGAATGCTCACAGCAGTGGATTCCCCAAAATGAAAAACCGAAAGTTCACCGATAAGAGAACAGATAAAGATGCGATGCAATACTACTCAGCGATAAAATGGTGTGACTTACTGGGGCACCTGGATGGCTCAGTTCCTTAAGAATCCAACTCTTGGTTTTGGGTCAGGCCATGATCTCATGGTTCATGGGTCTGAGCCCCGCGACAGGCCCTGCGCTCATGGCAAGAAGCCTTTTTAGGATTCTCTCCCTTCCTCTCTCTCTGTCCTCCCTCCCCCCTCTGCTTGCACTCTCTCTCTCTCAAAAATTAATAAATGAACATTTTTTTTTAATGGTGTGATCTACTGACTCATGCATTAACATGAATCTCAAAAACATTAAGTGAAAACGGCAGAACTCTCAGCATGTAACACCTCTATCCAAACTCCTCTGTGACAAGAGTGATCAAACTTTAGCACAGCTGGACTTCTAGCAGCATAAGCCTAGTTCCAAGGATCACCCAGGCCCCAAAGCATTAGATTACCTGCTGGGGGGGAAAGAGCTACACAGACAGGAGAATTTATTGTTCATTCCAACCAAAACCTAACAATAGGCCCTTAACCTCCCTTTCTTAAAGCATTTACTATAAAGGACTTACAACTGTGAATATTTATCTCTTACAACTCAGCAGGGTCCTTCTCAAGGACTCCAGAACCACTCCTTTGAAATGTAATCAGCATAAAGGACTCCTGGTCTCAGTGGGAGGATCGAATCCTAACTTCCGTAACTGCGTGCTACCAAATCCTGCAGGCCTAATCGAATTTACGCAGACTAACTGTTTGTAATTTTTCACTTCTCTGAATCTATGAGGCCCCTGCTCTCCCCTCTTCTCAATTCTCCCTTTAAAAGGCCCCATCACCTCTGCAAAATTTGGAATGGAGCTCAATTCTTTCTTTTACTATAATTACTGAAAAAAAGTCATTCACCACTTTAATGTCTGGCTGTGTTTATCTTTGATACTAAGAAGCCAGGCATAAAAGAATCTATACTGTGTGAAACTTTAGGCAAAATTATGCTCTGGTATTAGAAATCCAAACTGCTTCAAAGTAAGGACGTGGTGGGGGGGGGGGCTTATAGGAAAAAAAGCAAAAGGGAACTTTCTAGGGTGATGGAAATGTTCTACAATCCAATGTATAATACACTTCAATCATAAATGGATATATGTTTATCAAAACTTATCAAACTCTACACTTAAGATCTGAGCACTTCTACCATATGTAAATTATATCTCCATTTTAAAAAACAATTTGAAAGAACAATGACAGATTACTATGGGCCAGTGGTTCTCAAATTTTTGGTCTTAGGAACCCTTTACTCAAATATTATTGAAGATCCCAAAAAGGTTTGATTTATATGTGTTGTATCTGTCCATGTTAACCATACTAGAAATTTTAACGAAAAAACGTTTAAATACTTATTAATTCATTTAAAAACAACAACAAAATTGGGGCACATGGCTGGCTCAGTCAGTAGAACATGTGACCCTTGATCTCAGGATTGAGTTCTAGCCCAACATTGGGTATAGAGATTACTTAAAAATAAAATCTTTAGAAAATAGTAATAATCAATAAAAAACAAACCCATTTCACTAAACATAAATTGCATACCTTTATAAAAAATAACCATATTTCCCCAAAACTTTAGTGAGAAGAGTGGCATCGTTTAAGTATTTTGAATGTCTTTCAATGTGTTGCAATATATTGATTTAGTTGAAACACGTACATAAAATCAACCTCACATATATGTAGGAGAAAAAGGGAGGAGTATCTTAATAGCTTTTCACAAAACTATATATAAACTTCCATGATGCTATACCGAAACTAGAAACATGCAATGTGGAATTTGAAGCTGTTATAATGAATTTTCATACTCTGTAACATTAAAATCCATAACTCTATCTTGTGCCTAGAACAGATCTTATCTGTGCCTGATGGTATAACACCAAAGCACTGGTCTTTTGAAAAAATATTAGTTCATTGATTTATACAGGTAATGTCGACACATTTAATTATTATGAAGTGAAATTACATATATACGTATATTTGTTTTATTTGTTTTATTTTTTTTTCAACGTTTTTATTTATTTTTGGGACAGAGAGAGACAGAGCATGAACGGGGGAGGGGCAGAGAGAGAGGGAGACACAGAATCGGAAACAGGCTCCAGGCTCCGAGCCATCAGCCCAGAGCCTGACGCGGGGCTCGAACTCACGGACCGCGAGATCGTGACCTGGCTTTCAGTCCTTCTTTGGAGGAAAACAAAGGGGGGGGGGGGTCTTCCATGAAAAACAAAACCAAAACAAAAAACCAGCTCACAACTCAATTACACAAGTTCTTTTCCTCAAGGTAACCATCAATACCTTGACAAGCAACAGAAACACTGTATGCACATTTCCCATTCTGTTTCACAGAACATTAAAAAGGCATGTACTCACTGGTCAAGATAAAATTAAACTGACAGTCCTTACTGATTCATCAAGGACATCTCTAAGTGAAAATGATTTTTTCTTTTAACCTTAGGTACGTAGTGGTTAAGGAATAAAGTGATTACCAGTACAGTTTGCTGTTGCCTCAATTTGTGCTAAAGGGACAGCAGGTGTACCTACCAATGCTTTTGCACCATCAGCACAAATACCAACACAGCGAAAGAGCAAGTATCTCAGTATTATTGCAAAAGTTTTTTGACATCACAGATCGTATGAAAGGGTCTGGGGAACCCCAGGGGTCCAAGGGTCACACTTTGAGAACTGAAACATAGGAGAGACTAGGAAATAAACTTAACTTGGACTGAATTCCCGAAGGAAACAAGACTTAACATTGTAAGTGCCAAAAGACTAAGGGTGCTCTGTACGTGTTTGCTCATTCTCTTATTTCCAATTTTTGTTCAATGCATGATACACAACAGGTGTTCAATCATATTGCTGAATGAATAAGATGACAACTACACGGTTGTCTACACAGTCTTAAAGGAAAAAACAGGGCTACAGGAAAAGCTTGGGGAGAGATTTGGGGGTGGTCTATGGAAAGAAATGAAGCTGGGAGAAAATACAGACTAATCTCACATGACATCAATTCAAAGACTGCACAAAATGTTGCCAAGTAGAATCCAGTATGACCAAGAGGGATTTATTCCTGGAATGCATGGATTCAGTTATTAGGAAATAGATTAATGTAATTCATATATGATCCTCTCCATAGATACAATCATGAAACATATTATAAAAATGTTAACAGGATTTTTGAGCAAAAAGTTTTTTCTGTACAACAAATTAAAAAGTTAAACTATTTTTCTTCTCTCATTCTTTTTAATGCTTATTTTGAGAGAGAGGACGTGTGCTGGGGGAGGGGCAGAGAGAGAAAGAGAATCCTAAGCAGGCTCCCAGCACAGAGCCCAACACAGTGCTCCATCCCACAAATGGGGAGATCATGATCTGAACCAAAATCAAGAGTCGGACGCTCAACCAACTGAGCCACCTAGGAGCCCCTTTTCTCTCATTCTTGATTGCTATATTTACTGAATGTTTCTGTGGTGTAATAAAGATATATATTTGGTCTTTGTCCCCGGTTTCTGGCAAAGCTCCTAAAACCCTTGGATTCTCCTGAGTGATGAGTGTTTTGTTATTCACTAATTATTACCTTCTGTCCACACCTGAATCTATGCTATGGTGGTGACTCAGGGTAAGGTCCCTAGATAGCCTTAGAATGGGGCAGTCACCAGGAAGATCATGATTAAAGGGCGGGAACTTCCAGCCCCACCCCCTCACCACCAGGTGTGAGTGCCTGGCCTGTGGAGGGTGGAGCAGGAGACTGAGTTATAGACTCTTAAAGAGATTTGGAGAACATCCCATTGGTGAGCTCATCCATGTGCTAGGAGGATGACAAGCCCAGAGGGGGCATGGAAGCTCCAGACCCTCTCCCCATACCTTGCTCTATGCATGGCATCCGTCTAGTTGTTCCTCAGTTGGATCCCCTATAATAAACTGGTAAACCTAAGTAAAGCACGGTTACCTGAGTTCTGTGAATTGTTCTAGCAAATTACTGAACTTGAACCCAAGGAAGAGTGGGAGGAGAATGCATGGGAACACCAGAATTTGCAACTGGTTAGGCAGAAGTGTGGGTAGCTTGGGTACCCCATTTGGGGCTGCCATATGAAGTGGAAGCAGTCTTGTGCAATTCAGCCCTTAAACTGTGGGGTCTGTGTTAATTCCAGGGAGTTAGGATCAGAACAGAATTGAATTGACTGATACCCAAGTTGGTGTCAGAGAACTGGAAAACTGCTTGATGTGGAGAAACCACACACTTGACGTCAGAAGTGGTATTAGAGGAAAGAAAACAGAGTTTTATAATGCATGTATTATTATAATACAGTTGAACACACAAAATTCAAAGTGTACGATGAAAAAAATTTGGATACTCTTGGGTATCAACTGAAAATTATACTAACTATAAGGGAATACTATAAGGATGCAGGGTAAAAAATTAATTATACAACTCAGCAGCTTTCACAATTATAGTCAATAACAGGATAGACAAGAGATGATATCAGGGCAGAAAAGATCATTTACATCAGAAACAAAAAAGGTGTGGGGGCCTGGCTGACTCAGTGAGTAGAGCACGTGACTCCTGATCTCAGGGTCATGAGTTTGAGTCCCACAATGCCAAAGATATTACTGTAAAAAAATAAATAAATAAATAACAACAGATGGGCACCTGGGTGGCTCATTCAGTTAAGCATCCAACTCTTGACTTTGGCTCAGGTCATGATCTCCTGGTTTGTGAGATAGAGCCCCATGTCAGGCTCTGCACTGACAGCATGGAGCCTCCTTGGGATTCTCTCTCTCCTTCTCCTGCCCCACCCACACTCACTCGCTCTCTCTCTCATAATAAATAAGTATTTTTTTTAAAAAGGAAAAGAAACAAAAAAGATTAAATACCTAAAAATAACCTTCTCAGGATACACAAGATTTGAAAAATGGAAAGGCATACACCATTCCTCAAAAAAATCCTAATATAAATATTAAAGTTTTAATTCTCCCTAAATTTATAATTAACATGATTGAGAAAATACCAATAGTATTTTTTATCTGTGGTTTATTTTATTTTTAAAAGTTTTTGTTTATTTAAGTAATCTCTATACCCATTGTGGGGCTAGAACTCACAACACCAAGACCAAGAGTCACATGCTCTACCTACTGAGCCAGCCAGGTGCCCCTATCTGCAGTTTACTTTATTTATTTATTTTTTTTAATTTTTTTTTCAACATTTTTTATTTATTTTTGGGACAGAGAGAGACAGAGCATGAACGGGGGTGGGGCAGAGAGAGAGGGAGACACAGAATCGGAAACAGGCTCCAGGCTCCGAGCCATCAGCCCAGAGCCTGACGCGGGGCTCAAACTCACGAACCGCGAGATCGTGACCTGGCTGAAGTCGGACGCTTAACCGACTGCGCCACCCAGGCGCCCTGCAGTTTACTTTAAAATAAATGAAAAGGAGGTGAAAGGTAGCCAGAAATATGCCACTCAGGTATAAAGATTATTTTGAGTTGAAGACAAATGAGAGAAGATACAAGAAAAACTCTCTGTCCTCCCACTATATGTCTAAAACATAAATGTATAAAGGTGCTCCCCTTTGCCTATCAGCAAGGACAGAAATCAATCATTAAAGAAAACTCTAGACCCTTATCCACCCAGTCAGCACCAGAGGAATCTACATAATAAAGTTTCCGAACTAGCCCTCACCTTCCATTAGTTTTCTATATATTTATCATCCCACAATTGGCCGCCCCAGAAGTACAAAATGCTTTTCCTTTGTCTTGTCATTTCTCTACAAAATTACTGCTCCTGTTAAGACGCTATATAAGCTCAAGTTCTAACCAGCCCTTTGAGTTACTCATCACTGAATACTCCTATGTGAGGGGCACCTGGGTGATTCAGTTGGTTAAGCAACCGACTCTTGACTTCAGCTGTTTGGGAGTTTGAGCCCTACTTTGGGCTGGGCTGACCGTGCAGAGCCTGCCTGGGATCTTTCTCTCTCCCTGCCCTTCCTCCACTCACTCACACACTCTCTCAAAATAATTTTAAAAATGTTTTTTAAGTTTATTTATTTTGAGAGAGACAGAGAGCAAAGGGGGCAGAGAGAGAGAATCCAAAGCAGGCTCTGCACTGCCAGCGCAGAGCCTGATACAGGGTCAAACCCATGAACCGTGAGACCATGACCTGAGCCGAAACCACGAGTCAGACGCTCAACCGACTGAACCACACAGGCACCCCTCAAAATAAATAAACTTAAAAAAAAAATACTTCCAGGTGAATGTGCAACACATGTGTTTATAAGTTTGTTTTTTCTAACTGATTTGTAGGGCCCCAGCCAATGTACCTATGATGGGTATAGGAGAAAGATTTTTTTCCTCCCCTATAGAGGTATAAGGGTACAGATAAAAAAAGGTAAACCATTAACTGATCATTGCTGAAGCTGGGTGATGTGCAGATGGAAGTCATCATACTAGTTTTGTATATATTTACACATAGCTGATGTTTATCTACATACAGGGAAAAAAAAAAACAAGAATGGCAGGAAAGGGGCCAATAGTGAGGGGAGAGTGTCCTACAACGTATTAAAAGATAGAATAGGGGCACCTCGGCGGCTTAGTCGGTTAAGCGTCTGACTCTTGATTTTGCCTCAGCATGATCTCACTGTGAGTTTGAGCCCCAGTGTAGAGCCTACTTGGGATTCTCTATCTCTCTCTCAAAATAAATAAACATAAAAAAAAAAAAAACACAAAAACAGGCAAAGCTAATCTATGATGTTAAAAGTTAGGTTAATGGGGGGCACCTGGCTGGCTCAATTGGTGGCATGGGCAACTCTTGATCTCAGGGTTGTGAATTCGAGTCCTATGTTGGGTGTAGAGATTTCTTAAAAATAAAATCTTTAAAAAAAAGTCAGGATAATGGGAGCAGTGGGGAGGGCGGTGGTGATTGGAAAGGGACATAAGACAGGATGCTGTAATATTGTTTATCCACATGGTTATTAGGTATACAGGTGTATTCAGTGTGTGAACATTCACTTATGGTATGTGCATTCTTCTGTATATTATACTTCAATGTAAGTTTGCATTTCCAAGGGCGCCTGGCTGGCTCAGTTGGTAGAGCATGCCACTCTTGAACTCAGGGTGGTGAGTTCAAGCTCCACACTGGGCACAGAGCTTACTTAAATTAAAAAAAAAAAAAAAAGTTTTCATTTCCAAATGTACAAGAAAACACAGAATTGTTTTGCAATCTTAGAGTGGACAAAGCCTTCCTAAGTATGACTACCCAGAAGTCATAAAAAGGGTTAATAAATTTCACTACATAAAAATAAATTTCTGCAGAGTAAAATAAGACCAACAATCCAATAGAAAAATGAGTTCAAAATATGAATATACACATCCCAGAAATGGACATACAAATAGCTCCAAACATACTTAAGTATGTTCAACTTCACTTATAATAAGAAAAATGCCAGGGCGCCTGGGTGGTTCAGTCGGTTGAGCATCTGACTTCAGCTCAGGTCATGATCTTGACTTTGGCTCAGGTCATGATCTTGTGTTCCTGAATTTGAGCCCCATGTCTGGCTCTGTGCTGACAGCTCAGAGCCTGGAGCCTGCTTCGGATTCTGTGTCTGCCTGTCTCTCTGCCCCTGTACCGCTCATATTCTGTCTCTCAAAAAATAAATAAATGTTAAAAAAAATTAAAATGCAACTAATATCACAAAATATTTAAATTGGAAAAGACAAAGTATGGTAATGCAGTAAATGGGCGGAAGTGTGAGGACTAAAGCACGCTCACATAATGACAGTGAGAGTATAAACTGTTACAACATCACTGGAGATCAATTTAGCAAAAACTGTTAAAGTTAAAAATGCACATATCTTGGGGTGCCTGGGTGGCTCAGTCTATTGAGCGTGGGACTCCTGATTTTGGCGCAGGTCATGATCTCGCGGTTCATGGGACTGAGCCCCAACATGAGGTTGACAGGGCAGAGCCTGCCTGGGATTCTCTGCCTCCCTCCAAAATAAATAAATAAAAATCTTAAAAATGCACATATCCTTTGACAAAGCAACGTAACATCGGAAATTTACAGATACACTTGCACACGTGCAAAACAAAGGATGCACAAGTATATTCACTGCTCTAACCATCCCACTGTTGGGAGATACGTAGGGGAGACAACCCCGCAAATGCTTAGAAATATGGTTATCTTTAGAATACACTGATAAAATTCCCACAAGATAAATGTGACTAGGTATATGAAGACAGAGTTCAAAAGACTGTAGACGCAGCAGCCCAGTTCCCGACTCTCAGACCAGGTGGGTTTTTCCTCCAGCATCCCCCGGACTCGTACCTACAATACAGGGCGAAATGGGATCACGCCTGAAGCACCTAATGGGGTAAAGCCGGAGAGGCCAGAAGACCTGGGCAAGGAAAGAGGGCATGAGAAAACTGAGCCACCTACTCACACTCGTATTTCCGAATGACTGGAGGATACTTGGCCTTGATTGCCTTCTGCTCTTCAGTCAAATTGTAATCTCGAATATCTTCCTCTTCCTGCGCCATAATTACAACCCTGGACACTCCACTTCCGCCCTTCATTAGCCGGACTTCAGCCCTGATTTACAACTTCCGCTCTAGACTCCGCCCCTTGGCACACACCCTTAAAGGACCAGGACTCCATTCACCCAGATGTACTTATACCCTAAGACTCCTGGCCTAGGACCCGCCGGTGGAAAACCGTCTTTAATAGGCTTAGGCCCTATTTTCTGCGTTTGCTTCATCACTTCTAAGAACCCAGGAAACAAGTAAATTGGGGGACCTGGAAGTAGTAAGACACTTGAGCTGGACACTTCTATGCCTGAGTGGTAGACGTGTTTTCTTTCTGCCTCATTCCCAGAGTTGATAACTAGACCCGAAAGCATCCCAGATTTTTCACGTCAGTGCTCTGAAATTGTCGCGAGCTGAACAGCCTTTAAGAAAATGGCTGCCCCCTGTAGAGTGCGGACTAAACATCTCACGTGACCCGGCGGGCGCCCTCCCACCGGCTCCGCGCGCGCGCAATCGAAGGAAGTCGGCTCCCGGCCGAGTGGGGGCAGGGGAGGGGCGCGCTCCTGGGCCCCGCAGAAAGCGATTTTGCGCGTCTGGATAGGCTGCGAAAGCGGCTTCCCCGCCCACCCCACGGTTCGCTGCGCTCGGATTGGCCAGTGTTGGCGCGAAGGTGCGCGAGTCGGCCCTCACGCAGGGGCAGCAGGAAACAATAGAGGCCGCGCGCGCCGAGCGAGCGCCCGTAGCCTCCCCGCCCCTCCCGCAACGCTCGACCCCGGGATCCCCCCCGGCTTGCCTGCCCGCCATGGCCGACAAGGAAGGTGAGGGTGCTGGGGCTGCCCCAGGAGGGCGGGGGTGCCGGGCTGGCGCCGCAGCCTCGACAGGGCCTAGCAGTGAAGGCAAGCCCGACTCTTGAGTGTTGTCTCCACCATCGAAGGCGTGAGGAGAAATCGCCCCGCGGGTCGGGCTAACGGCGCGCCTGTTCCAGCGGCGCGGAGGCCTGTCGCCGCGGCGTGGAGCTGCCGGAGTGGCGGGGGGGGGGGGGGGGGGCGGCGGAGGCTGTTTGGTCCCTCCCCGCGCTCCCTGTCGGTCGGCCCGCTTCTCCCGGGAGTGCCTACGCCGTTCCCTATCCCAGAGGCCGGTGCTCGGGCCTCCTCGCCGGCTCCGTGGACCTAGCGCGTACCGGAGCGTGCTCCCGAGCTCGACGCCGTCGCCCCAACGCCTAACGGAGTGACTGGCCCGAGAGTGGTTGCGGGCGCGCGACGGTAGGGAGGGGGGTCGGTACCTCCTGGGGTAGATTGAGGCAAATCTCCATTTCAGATTCGAGCTGTGCCGGTAGCTTTGGAAGTGTTTCCTCCGTTTCCATTTGTGTTTGCTAACTTAATTTGTTTTTAACTTTTTAGCAGCCTTTGATGACGCAGTAGAAGAACGTGTGATCAACGAAGAGTACAAAATATGGAAAAAGAACACCCCTTTTCTTTACGATTTGGTGATGACCCATGCTCTGGAGTGGCCTAGCCTAACTGCACAGTGGCTTCCAGATGTAACCAGGTGACGTGAATCTTTTGAACGTTATTTTGTTGTGTCCTCCTCAGTGGAGATTTCTCACATTGATTTTCCCTATTTTCCGCCAGTCTCTTGGAGAGGGCACGTGATCAAAGCCTATTGGTGACGTTTTTTTCTAGGCCACAAAATAAATAAATAAATAAATAAAAACGTAAAAATAATTTTGCAACTTAGCTGATAAGGGAAAATTTGTTTTCTTTTCCTGATATGAAATGAATAGCCTGTTAGAACTATAGTTGGCCAAATAATATAAAACGTGTCAGCTTTCAAAAAATGCCATGATGGGTCATTCTGGTACTTTCAGGAAAACGTTTGAATGTATAGGTAGTAGCTGGTTAGTACAAAGATGTGTATGACATGGTACCTGCCTTCAAGGAGCACATGTCTAGTTAGTTGAAGAGGCTGGTGTAGACTAATAATTATAGATACATGTGCTAAGAGCAGTTTTACGGAGATACTTAGGATATTTAGAACTAGCACCTGAGGATGGGATGGTTTTTATATAAGGGAATTATGCATAGTGAAAGATTAATCACTTGTGTGTCTTACACATGAGAAACTTACCTCTAAGAGGATAAAATAATATTTCATTTAGCTTAGATTTATTGAGGGTCTGGTAGGTGCCACATATCAGGGTGTGCAAATTGAGATGAGTCACCTTCCCTACCTCGACTCCTTGTGTATATGGTATGGAAGATTTCCCCTCCCCCAAACCTTATTTGTAGGGAATATGGCCCAAGATCCCCAGTGGATGCCTGGAGCCATGGATAGTTCTGAACTCTGTGTGTTACGTTTTTTCCTATACATGCATAACTGACAAAGTTTAAACAATGTAGGCACAATAAGAGACTAATGATAAAGCAGGATGATTATAATTTACCATAACAAAAGCTGGTCTCTTGCTGTCAAAATTTCTCACTGTACTCACCCTTCTTGTGATGTTGAGAAGATAAAATACACATGTGATGAAATAAAGTGAGGTGAATGACATGGGCCTTGTGATGAAGTATTAGGCTACTACTGACCTGATGTTAAGTAGAAGGAAGATCATCTGCTTCCGGATGGGACTGTAGTTGACCAAACTGAAGGAGGGGGGCTACTATATTACAGTGAAAAATAATTATCATGAGAGTGGCACAGATAAAATTATCAGAGGAAGGAAAAAATCACCTCAATTTAGGGTATCCTGAAAGGCTCCCAGGAGGAAATAACAATGCAAAGATGAAGGTGAATTTAAATAATACAAGGTTTTATAAAAACCAGTGTGCCTGTTGGAATAATGGGTTTTCTATTATAAAACTGTTTCACTTTTCAGAATAGCATTTAAAAATTACATTGTGTATTAAGTAACTCCATTTCTTCAAAATTCCTGTTTTTAGAATTCAAGATATTTGCAGAATATGGTTAATTAGGCCATGTTTCAGCTCAACAAGTAATAAAATTTGATACAAATTTTACTAATGACTTAAGAACAAGGCTGCTACCTTCACAGTGGCATTAAAAATGAGGAGATCTGTCCTAATGATGTTTAACAAACTTCTAAAAAAATACCTAGAAATTTAGAGTCAGAAGCTTTGTCATGACCAGGAATTCCCATGTTTAACTGATCATCAGAATTACTTGAGTTCAGGTTAAGTGGAGCCATTTCTGTCAGGAGTTCTCAATGGTAGTTCAAACCATTTAGGAGCTGGTGGCAGAGTAATTGATGAAAAATAGTTGAATGGTGATTCCACAATCATGAGCTGCATGCATCATATTGGAACAGTGGATCCCAGATACTGGCCACTGCATACCTACTAAATCATTCTGGAACCATATTTTTAAAAACCTTCCTATATAATGTAGTTAGTAGCTCAATTTAGAAAGCAATGAATTAGACCAAAGTTTATTTATTTTGAGTGGGGGAGGGGGGATAGAGAGTTGTGCCCGGTCAGTGCAGAGCCTGATGCAAGGGCTCAAACTCACAAACCATGAGATGATGACCTGAGCTGAAGTCCTAAACTTAACCGACTGAGCCACCCAGGAGCCCCAAAGCTAATTTTTTTAAGACGAGGATTACTTAGAAGCAAGCATACCTATTGGCTTAGTGTTTAATATTTTGTGTCTGTTGGTCTTTTTCTTGTTTTTTTTCTTGTGGGGATGGTGTTTATTCATATCCTTTTTTAAAAAAATACTACTATAGTTCTGTAGTATCTTTTTCCCCCACTTCCTGTGGTTCTTTGTTTAGCCGTCTAAATGTAGACATTCCCAGTTTTGTGTTGACAATTCTCTTTTCTTTCCTCTACTTTTTCTATGTAGCATATAGATGCCTGTTGCCTCTGTGCAGAGGAATTTCTATTGGTTCTCTCTAGACCCAATTTCTGAGTTCTTCCTGAATTTTCAGCAGCCTACTGGTGTCTTCTCTGAACTATCTTACTGGGTTCCCCAACATGACATTTTCCAAACTGAGTATATTCTTTCCATAGAGGTCCCAATCGGCTTTCTCCTATTGTTCCTATTTCTCTTTATCATACTTGACTTTGGTTTGACATTTCCTAGGTTTTTCTCTTTCTCCACTTGATGGTTCATTTGTAAGCCTCAATGAATTACATTTGTATAATATCTCTTATCTAGACCAAAGGTTCTCAAACTTTAACATGCATTGTAATCAGCTGGAGGGATTGTAAAATAGATTGTGGTGCCCTGCATTCCAGGTTTCTGATTTAGTAGGTCTGGAGTGGATCTGAGAATTTAATTTGCCTTTCTGGATGAAGTTCCTAGATGCTGATGCTGGTGGTCCTGATACCACACTTGAAGAACCTCTACTTTACACTGTCAGATTAATCCTCCTGTGATAATTCAAATGGTGCTGTGTCCTTAGAAATTTTCCATGGTCCTTTGTTCCCTCTATAGTATAGAGTCTTGAATTCCTTAAGGTGGCACTCAGTACCCTAGAATCTGCTTTCTAGCCTTCTCTTTCCATTTTGCCATGTCCAAAGTCAGTTGGGATGTTGGTCCTAGTAGGTGTGAGTTCTTTTGTTTATTTTTAAAGTAATCTCTACACCCAACGTGAGGTTAAAACTCAGGACCCCCAAGATCTAAAGCCATATGCTCTACCAACTGAGCCAGCCAGGTGCCCCTCTAGTAGTTGTGTGATCTTAGGCAAGTTGCCTAATTTTCCTAAACCTCAAGTTCATCTTCATCTTTTGATGCATGGTTTGTAAGTGTTTAACATGATATCTGGCATTTTGTAGACCTGCCCTTTGCTCAGTTCCCTTTCTTTGGAATACTGTCTTTCAAAACCCTTGTCTCTTCTAGGTTTTATCTCTCATTTTGATATCTGCTTAAGTATTACCTCTTTCATGAATACTTCTTTAATTCCAGAAGCAATCTTACTTATTTATTTAAATTTTTTTTAGTGTTTATTTATTATTGGGAGACAGTCACAGAGCGAGAGTAGGGGAGGGGCAGAGAGAGGGAGACACAGAATCTGAAACAGGCTCCAGGCTCTGAGCTGTCAGCACAGAGCCCGACGCAGGGCTCGAACTCAACAAACTGCGAGATCTTGACCTGAGCCGAAGTCAGTTGCTTAACCAACTGAGCCACCCAGGCACCCCTATTTATTTATTTTTAAATTCTCATATTCCTATGTACGTTTCATGTATTTATTGACTTGTGTTTTAATTATTTGTATATGTGATTAATTGCCCCTGGTTTTTTAAGGGCATGAATCATGTCTTAATCATTTTTTGTACTTTGTAGTTTTTGGCACAATGTGTCACTGATTAGGCACTTAGTAAATATTTGAACAATTAGTTTATCTAATAATTATTTTCTTTCCTATACCTTTTAATGAAATTAATGAAGTAACCTGAAGTGTTAGTG